TTACTGTCACAAGCATAAGTGTAACTTTGCGCAACCTTTAGGCTGCTCTAAGCTGGTACACAGAAACTGGCCTTGCAAAGAACTGTAAAAGGATTGGTGTAGAATGTAAAGGTGAGGTTTAACAAAGTTTTGCACCTCCTTACCGTATAGTGATTTATTCAGTTAAGTTTCATCACAGATCCTGGGCCATCTTGATAAAAGGAATATGTTAAAAGCTTGCTTTTTTTGATCACTGTGTAAAACTTATGCCTCAACTAGTGACATTAATAGTAAAAAATAATACAATTTCCAAAACATTTGATGTTTTCATCAACATTCCTGTAATGAATCTACAGTCTTAAAAAAGGAAAGGAAAACCTGTAGGAAATGGAAAAAAATTTCCAGCAAAAGGTAACACAGTGTGATCTGAGGGCATCTTTGGAAGTTACTGCTTTCTAATTTCATGTACCTGGAATATGCTTAGCCCATCCAATGATGACCACCAATTCTCTGTCTGCCAGGTCACAAAGGGTGGTGAGCGCTTTGATGTCGCTGTCTGGAACAGTGGGGTCAGGCATGGCATAGATCTTCTCTGGTTCAGCCACCAGTAAATGAGAGACAATCTTGTTATCTGTAAAAATTGACCCAAACAGTGAAAAATCACTAGGAATGTCACTTTTTTTTTCTATGAAGTAAGGTATGTTTCACAATGCATACAATTTAGCTTAAAATACTGGACCAAACTCACTCCTTCTGAAACTCCAATGACTTAAAAATGATACATACCAAAGACAAAATTTAGTGCAGTATACACATTTACAACATAGAGAACAAACTGCACATTACTAATAAATGATTATGAAGTCAGTGTATTGATAAATAGCAATTAAATCATAGCACTTGGAATAAAATCTTCATGGGCAAATTTTTTTAGTATTGAAATTTATTTTAGGTTTCATAAAATAAGAACTTTGGATTTGGTTTAATTCCTAGGTAAGAAAGAACTTTCTTTTTGTTATTTATAACAGTGGATGTTATAATGGTAAATATGGATGTACCAGTTTTAATAGAAGAAAAACAAGTATATTTTTATCTGAATAAAAAAACCCCACACATAGTGAATTGTTAAAATATGTAATTTCTGTTACAGACAATTGGTATTCTTCATCTCAGATGTCAGATTCTTGAACAAAGGAGTGTCCAAGGGGCTATCACTCCATATATCTTACAGTACCTATAAGTGCTCTTTTAAAATATTCAGTCCCATATGCGTGAACTGGAGGAATGAAATAAATGCTACTGATATTTGTATTTTTCTGAAATGCACAAACTCTAAACTAAATGAAATCACTTTCTATTAGCTTAAACATTGTGGGGCCTGATCATTTTTTCATTTATGCAGAAGAAAAATTTGGATGAATTTCACTGCGAACAATGGAAATATATAGATGTGGAACCAGCATATGTGACATGAGAATCAGACCCTATTTGAGGAAGCTCATTTGTGCACAGAAATCATTGATTATGTTTACATACTTGTTATTTTATCAATGCAACATTTCCTTTTATTTAATGTTTACTCTTGCCTACAGTTGCTCTATCTGGAATAATCAATTATATGAGAATGAACAGTGAAAAAAAACAGGAAGATAACTTCATGGGTTTATTACAAGGTGACCACAACTCTACAGTAGATAAGCAGTATGAAAATAAAATTAGTATAATGCCTATATTGAGGCTTTAATTTGAGCTGCACAAAGATGCCTTTACTCTGATCCACCTTCCATTAAATTCAGTAGGATATCTGTGGAAAATGGACTGCCCTTCACGCCTGTCCACTGTGCCCCTACCCATCCCATTTTTCAGTCAGAGGGACACCTTGTGGCAGACCAGAAACACATGAGCAGGGTACAAAACAGTGGCCCATAGGGGTCAAACAGAAGTCTGTTACAGAATTTAATCTAACCATATTGATCCCCTGGAATAAACTCACATAGTTTGACATAGATGGGGTTTGATCCTGAGATGACCAACCCCCTGAACTTTTGGCTATGGTGAAAGCTGATGAAGCTGGCACTGTTCTCTGCTCTTTCCACATGTCAGAGATAGGCTGAAGTAAAGGGGAATTCGGCTTGCATAGAGACTACAGGACAGGCTCCAGACCTGCTTATGACAAATTTCCATAAATATACTGGCTTGATTCTGATTTCTGATACTTTACTGCTCTTTTGTGACACTGACTCCTTGGTGCTGATGTATTGTCTCCAGTATTTTAGTCTTATTACAAATTTGTGTGTCAGTAAGTTGTGATATATGTTAGTCCTTCATAAAATAAGAGCCACAGCCAACTGGAAAGCATCATATCAAGTATGTTTTATTACTAGGGGATATATTCATGTTTTATATGAACTGTAGGAGCCTTGCCAACTAAATAATTCTTTATTTCAATATTCTGAAGATTATCAAACTGATTAATGGGGAATTTTAATCTTATCTAAGGATGACAGATGGCAATTCTAACTTTTATTGGCAAAAAAGCCCTCCAACGTAATTTTTAAAACTTTTTATTTTTTTAAGAATCAACATGTCTTGTGTTTTGCCTGTGGTTGTTTGTTTAACTTAGAAAACATTGTTTCCAAAGAGGAAAGAGGATTCAGCCATATTTTCTCACATTAATTTAACATGCCCATACACAGTGAAAAGCAACTTAAGCAAATTCTGTTTTTCTTCTTATGTATAAATGGGCCCAACATTAATATCAAACGGCATGCAGATGGAGACATAAACCATATGGATTTTAAATTACAATAAGTTAATGAAGATAGGTAAGGTAAATGCTCGCAAAATCCATTTTTTCTCAGTGCAAACATACACTGGGACAGACTGGAAATAGACTGAACTTCCCCTTTTTTAATCATAGGATCTTCATCAAAGATAAAGGTTTGTTTCTTGCAGATGATTTGAGAATACTGTGCATTTACATTTACCCTTCACTAAGTCTCAACTTCCATTATTTTGCCAATACAAAAAGACTGATAGGCAGATCATTAGACCCTGCAAAGAGGGGAATGAGAAAAGGGGCAGAAAAAGGCCCCTCAAAGACCTCTGAATCCCAGGTATTTCACTATAGGGAAAAGACTACATGTATCGAAGCATGCTTTAGTTCAAGGCATAGGAAATTTCTGAGTGTGCTCAGAAAGCCGTATCACTGAGGAAATTGAATAGCCATGAGCACTGTTTCTAGGTAAATCTTATTTAATGTTTCCCTAATTAGAATCAATAGAACCCAATTTTCATTCCTGTGCCTTTGTTATGCACAAACTATCAGTCAGGGTCCAGAAAATCTCCCAGGCTACTTGTTCAACAAAACCAATTCAACTGTTTCTTGGCACTTATCTGACAGAATGTGAAAACTAAAGTTTTATAAATGTTTGTTACAAAAATGTTTGTAATTGGGTGAATGGAGGAAAATTAAGAGAGGCCTTCAGATAATGAATAATGATTTATACAGAGGTTAGTTTATCTAAAACAAATGGAGCTTACTGAAATGAGTGTAGTTAGCACCTTAAAGGTATTGTGACACACTACTTTCCAGTAATCTCAGTTTTACACAGGGATTCTTAGAAGTTTCAGCATGACAGTGTTAACCTGTGTCTCTATTAAAGGGCTGGGATTTCCTTTCCTTTTATTTTTTTTCAGAGCAACAGGCTATCAACACTTCGACTCAATGACAATATAAAATAAATGAAAATCTGGCAATCTGTGCATGCAGAAAGAATAAACCTCTAATGAAATTAAGCATTAGAGTTCATTAAATGTTATTGTATTATCAGAAAGTTTTTTTTTTTATTATAATGCGCAAAATCTGCTTAATGCAGCCCTAGATTGTATTTACAGAATGGTAGAACAGCTTATGCAGGCTGAGTAGAAGATGCCAGATTGGACAATTGAAGGTATAATCAGCATAATGTTTTTTGGAAAGGCAAAAGGAAACTATGCCATATGTCCACTTAAGCCTTAATTTTATGTAAAACTGGTTGTTTTTCCTTTGACATAGCTAAAATGCCCTTTTGCTTACAGTTCAAAGACTGTTTATTTGCTCTGCAGATCCCCATATGCTCATGTGTATTGTACACAGCAGTGTCCCCTACTGGGGAAGATCAGCTGAAAGATACATTGGGAAAGACAAGGTTTCTGCACAACCAGGTAATATCACAAGGATCAAGCCTCCATGTTTGTTTTATTCCCTGGAGGCTCATTTTTCTGCTTTCACCGCAAAGTAGCCTCTTGACAGTGTAACTGCGCATGGGAATTCTGATCCAAATACAGAAGAGCTCTCACGCACCTGGGAGGGAATGCATGCCTTCCTAGCCTAATACACTAGTCTTTTGCAGTACAGCTATAATGCTATTAAATTTACTTCATGGAATTAGCACAGTTGCTGCTTGAGTTTGTATAAGCCGTAGAGAAAAACCTCCAACTATTTTTAGTTAATTGCACAGAGGATGGGACTTGTATTTTAGCACTGGATGATCAGCTATTTTCTATGTCTTTTTATTAATTTCAGGCTAGCATGATAAAATCAAGGACATTGTAAAAATGCCCCATAATGCCCATAAGGGTATCAGAGACAGAACTACCAACCTATGCTTGTTATTAGTGTGGCATACTCTTGTTTTAATATAATGCTAGCTAGTGTGTTAACTTTCTATAGCTATAAATTAATGAGGCTCCTAATGTATTTTCATTGGGAGGTTGAGCAGTCAAACTCATTTACTTAGTGAAAACTACAAAAATCACTTTCTTGTGAAATCTGAAACTAGCAGCTCCAATGAACTAATGATCACACTATGAACTGTTTTATGTACCACTGAAAATAAAGATAACCTGTAAATGTAAGATTTGCACTGCATAAAACATGCTTCCACCTGTAAAAAGTCTTTGTTTGAGTCTGTCTGAGAAAGGATGAAGATAATATGAGCAGTGAAAAATATTCTTACCGGAGAAGTGGGTGACACATAGCATCCATAGTGGCTTCTTAGGGTAAAATCCTTATCCTACAGAAGTCAGCAGTAGCTGAGAAGGGATCAGGATTTGACCCTCTTGAAGGTTTGCATGCAAAGAGAAATACGATACAGCTGATGTACTTACATGGCTTTTTTGCTGGCTGAACTAGCTGAGGGTTCAGGTATGGGCTATTCTCTGCATCTATTCTGCGCTTGTACTTCTGGCGACCTCCACGTACTCTGTCTAGACGGACCCCTAAAATGGGAAAAATAAGCATACACTCATTTAATAAATGTGTGGTGACACATTTCATGGACAACTTCCCACCAGAACTTTGAGCAATTTCTTTTCAAGACAGCCTCAATATAAAATGGTTCTCTCAACATAAGAACTATTAAAAGTAATAAAAAAGGCATTGGATTTAAGAACTTACAGGATATTTAAATGTTCATAAAAACAAGACCAGTTTACTCCATATTTTCTTTGTGGAGAAGATCAGTTCTTTTGTCGTAATAGCTAAGCAGTTTGGAGATAGGCCTAGGACTCTCGGTTTCTGACAGTCTGAGCTGAACTCCTCTTTAGCAGAAATTGTGTCAAGCTCAGAGTTGTAATAAGCACCAATGGATTTACCAGGCTACAGTTATGAGCAAAGGACTATGAAGGATGAGAATTTTAGAGACAATTAATATTGAATCCTGTTGTGATAATATAAAATGATGTTTTTAATTAACATGGCCTAAAAAATTGACAGCACTAACGACAGAGGAACCAAAGTATAACAAAGACACAGACAGGGTTTAAAATCCTTCTAAAAGGGCTCAACAGCAATGATTACACTGGGATTTCAAAGGAGGGAGATCTGCATTTCTCTGGATGTCAGCAAAGACATATCAACATTTGCATTCTACTGTCTAATTATTAATGTCTTAAGTAGCATATTTTTGATACCTGAGATGTATGGGCACAGGCTTTATGTAAGCATATCTCCCGGAAACAAGCTGAAGCTGCTCTAGCAAAAAATTCCATGCGGCCTCCATAAAACAGTGAAATATTTTTATTCAGTTCTGAGTCAGCCAGACAGATTCCAGACACCCACAAAGTGTGTTAGTATAACCCAGCAATAACACATCATTTAAGCAGAAAACCTCACTATATATACAGGGCAAAGAGAAAAGCAGTAGCAAGTATTAAATCAACGCCTTCCCTGATACCACAGTTTAAGCAGGGAAGAACCGAAAGATTATCTAAAGAACGATGATCCCTGTGAGCAATGTGACAAAAACTTGTCCACTTTTTCACTTTCCTTCTGAGTTCTGCTTATCTCCCCTCTTAAATTTTCCATTCCCACTATCATCTTCTGCTGCTTCTCTCCAGACTTCCTTCCTCATCCTCTCATGAAATACAACTTTGCAGAATACTGCCGAGTTCTTGGAACCCATAAAATCTATCAACAGCAATGGCTTCAGCTTGTGAAAGCCATTTCTGTATTCAAAATGGGATGCAGGAATTTGAACAAGGATCAGTGTGTTGCCAAGGAACCTGCTCCAGGGCCATGGGGTTGGGAAGGAGGCTGCGGGGGACAACTGCTAGAGATGATCTGCTACCCCTCAATCAAAACAGGAAAAAATACTGAATGGATTTTGGTGTGACACAGCAATTTTGACAAATGGTCAAAAAACACACGAGCAGTTTTGCTTCTCTTTACTCTTTTATAAAATCTTTCAATCCATTTCTCCTTTCCTTCCTGTCACTCACAGACTTAAGTCTTTTACAGTGTCTTATGGGTCAAATCCTACAAACTGTTCCTAACTTGTAAAAGGTTTTCCCACATAATGATCTCATTGAGTGCGTCCAGATAAGCGCACCCATACAGGGGTGCGCATTTGCCATAGCACAAATAGCTGCAGCATATATTTGTGCTGCTGCTTTGTGGCCCAGGCCACACACCTGCATGCACCAAATTGTCCTGGGTGGGGTAGGGGAGGCTGGGGCCAGCACCTATGCTGGCCCCAGCAGCCATACCTGGGATACTGGGGGTCTCCCAGGGCAACAGCAGTGCTGATCCAGCCACACAGAGCATGGCCAGCAGCCAGCATCTGCCTTTGGATGGCTAGCCTCCATTTCTGGCAGTGCACAATACTGCCATGTGCACCGCAACACTTTTTTTTGATGCAGCTTTTTTTGATACTGGGATCTCCTTTTGTCAAATTTGGGCACTGGGCAAATTAGCAGCACAGTGAATGGGTGCACATGCTCTGAGTGTGGTTTGCGGCGCCTCAAACAGCTTAGAAGAGCCACAAACCACACACTCACACTCATCTGGATGCATTCATTGACTCCAGTGGAATTGTGTGCGTGCATGTAAGAGTTTCTACTGTAACACAGGTTTTGGTTTAAGATTAGACTCCATGGGTGTGTGTAGATGAAACAAGGGGCATGTGTGCACGACACTTTAAAGTGGCTTAAATCCTTTTGCACCGCTTTAATGGTGTTGGTGTTTGCCAGTGTCGGCAGCATATTATGCATTAATTCCAGCCACTGTAGCACATTCAGCAGTGTAATGCACTTTAAATGGCACATACCCCATGTCAGCAAGCACAACAAAGGATAAAGAATTTTATGTAAGAGTTACCAGTATTGCTTCCTACCATTGGGACTGTGTAGTGATCTCTAAGAATAGATATCAACTCAAAAAATATATGGAGTTACTTGATAATAGGATACTTCCCTTACTTCAATATAGGAAATATATTTTTCATCAATTATCAGTTGAGTCAATATACATTTAAGATCAAACTATGGAAATAATTAAATAAAGCAATCCTTATCCAGAAAGAAAGATCAGTACAGGCATACCTCGGAGATACTGCGGGTTCGGTTCCAGACCACCGCAATAAAGCGAATATCGCAATAAAGCAAGTCACACGAATTTTTTGGTTTCCCAATGCATATAAAAGTTATGTTTACAGTATACTGTAGTCTATTAAGTGTGCAATAGCATTATGTCTAAAAAAACAATGTACATACCTTAATTAAAAAATACTTTATTGCTAAAAAATGCTAACCATCATCTGAGCCTTCAGTGAGTCGTAATCTTTTTGCTGGTGGAGGGTCTTGCCTCAATTTGTAAAAAACGCAATATCTGCGAAGCGCAATAAAGCGAAGCGCAATAAAACGAGGTATGCCCGTACATAATTACAAGTTAAATATCCCTACATACATGCATATATACATGTACATGTATCTATAGTTAAAATTATGTGCATAAATCAACACTTTAAATAATGGAAATGTCTTAAAATTAATGGGTAATAAACCTCTACAAGCATTATACCCCAATAAGCTCAATCTCTACTGAGGAAAATGACATTCAAGAAAATACGCTACCAGAAAATATATAGACAAGGCCAAAGCTTGGCAGTTGAACATTCAGAAAAAGGCAGAGGATTAGAGCAAGCCACATATGAGATTGGTGGGATTATGAAAAAGACTGTCTAGCATTTTAAGAAAAATAGATAGAAAATGAATTCTGCATAATTCAGGTGTCATCCTTCTTTCTGCTCAGGAGCAGATTTCATAGAGATAAAAGATGGATAGCACTGGACAGAAGTATGTTTAATCAAAAAGTAATGGAACTGAAACTTAAATTAAAATAATATAAATCTAGCAAGATGAACATTTTTTTCCCTCCTCTGCATTTGCACAGCCACCCACATGTTCACTGGAAAGGAAATATAGACAAGGGTTCAGTGTGGCATAATTATACAGAGCTATACATTTGCACACATATCTATACACCTGTAAATGGAGATACTTTTTATAAGAAGTGTGAACACTATTGTTCTAAGTATCTGGGAAAAATGGCATTGCTACTCAATACAAGTCTAAAACTATGTACATTCAACATGCAATCGTTTCTAACTCTAGTGTTTTTGTCTGCACTTTTCTGCCAAACTAGATACAGTACATGAAACTTTTATCTTTCTTGGGAGGGGCTGTGTGGATAATTTTTATACCTTGTGTCACCCAGTTATAAAGTTAATTCATGTAATCAAACTCATATTGTATGCTTGGCTAATATTAATGTTTGGTACATGGTTATTGCACAGGAAAGTAGTGAGCAAAACCATTTACTCATTCTAACTGTCCAAAGGTTTTGCCATGGTTTGCCATGGAAACTCAAGCTGTCCATGCATCAGTTTCCTCATCCATAACATTAAGATAATGATATTTAGCTCACTTCAGTAAAATGATGTGTGATCTTTGAATGAAGACTACTGTATGAATTAGCATTATAATACTCTAGGGCTACATTTTACACTGACGTAAATCAGTAGCTCCACTGAAGTCACGTGAGCTGAAACCACCAGAGGATCTGGCTCCCTTGGACCTAACATTAAGTTTCACCTTGGAATCCTTAAACAGGAAAAAATCCCAATGATGTCAATGGCTATCTTACCTGAACAGAGACTAAAACCACTGGCCAATTACCAATCAAAATATGAATTCAACATTCAACACTAAAGAACTTCGGAGAACACTTCACTTTACCTCTCATTACAAGCACTAAATTATCTGTTAGAAAAGAATGGGAAATCACACATTTACAAATGATTTACAGAATTCAGTTGGGGAGGATTAGAAAGGGACTAGATTTCATGACAAGAAAAAAGCATGTGCTATGTAGGCATTACTTTCACTTTTTTAAAAGGTAACTACTCAGATCCATATGGATTAAGGATTTTCTTCATATAATCTTAGAGAAAGGTTGGCCTTGTGATTAAGACACTGATCTTTTGTTCTGTAAAGTGGGCTCCACTCCTGGTTCTAGCATAAGATTCCCACATGTCTTTTGGCCAAGGGTGTGGACAAATGAACAAACTACCCTGAGGTAAAGAGGGAAGGGGTTGCATAGAAATTTACACTGCTGCTCTGCAATAATTGTTTCATACATCCACGCTATCCAGTTTTAGTAGAAGTTAGACTAGGGAAGTTTACCCTTGAATGAAACAACCATTAATGGTTTTCTTGTACCACAGGATACAGTGGCCATTCAAAAGAGTTAACATGAATCAGCTAGTGTATAGTAAGTTCTCTCCCCCACCACTACCTTTTTAGCTTTTATAATTTGTTTGTGTGTATACTCTACACTGTATTTCTTTATTAACTGAAGTTACAACAAATCAGGCTACTCTTAGTTTGAAATAAGAGTGACCACACACGTGTGTATTGAAATTACTGAAGGAGTGAGTTAC